TTTATAAATGGTAAATGGCCTGTATTTATATAGCGCTTTACTAGTCCCTAAGGACCCCAAAGTGCTTTACATATCCAGTCATCCACCCATTCACACACTGGTGATGGCAAGCTACATTGTAGCCGCAGCCACCCTGGGGCGCACTGACAGAGGCGAGGCTGCCGGACACTGGCGCCACCGGGCCCTCTGACCACCACCAGTAGGCAACGGGTGAAGTGTCTTGCCCAAGGACACAACGACCGAGACTGTCAGAGCCGGGGCTCGAACCGGCAACCTTCCAATTACAAGGCGACCTCCCAACTCTTGAGCCACGATCGCCCCATGTTTATTTCAAACATATACATTCACCAACGTTTCATAAAATCATTCCATACAGTTGTTTGAAAAGGAGTAGGCAGAAGTAAATTTGAAAGTGTTTTGATAAAACATCAGCTGATATTAATAACTATTGTTTAATAAATGTTGTATGTGTGGTAAAGCTGCTGTTTTAAGCCACAGTGAACAAAGCTTGACATGATGACTGCGTGATGGCGTGGTTAATTCCAGTGCGCGAGCACAGGTCACCCATCACTCTGGACATTCCAGACTGTGGATTCTTAGGGACTAACTGTCATCACACTCAACAAAGTTCGTTTCGCAGTCTTGGATGAACACGCCACTGCTAGTGTGTGCATGCTACTTTAGTAACTAATGTGCATCTGAAAGGCACAGTTGTATTTATAACAGGTAAACACAACCTGAAATGACACATTTAAACTCTGAACTACGTTACATAAATATGAATATAATACAAGCAGGCTAAATGGCTGCTGCCTCTGTTCTTGAAGAAATGAAATGATTGACCTGCTCTTTGAAAGCCTTTGTGAGACGTATTAGTGGTCAAATTATGCAAGTTTCAGCTACTGTGATATTTCAGAAAGTGATACTTCTCTTTTGACATCATTAAAAAGCTTATATAAGCAAGGCGGGAAAAACCAACCGACTGACACAGAGCAACTGAAAGGAGCAGCAAACGAGTCAGACAGAGAGCGTGTTCGCTCTAATCACTGCAGTGTTGCAGTCATCACGCTGTCCCCCCTTGTGGCAGTTTTATTATCAGAGCTGGAATGCAGCACAAGAGTCATTTCCCCTAACGATCTCAGCCACCTTCCACACCTCAGGACAAGTGAGTGTGGCTGACATGAGTGTGGAAGAGGGGAGGGTAGCAGAGGAGGATAATACGTATACGAAAAGGACGAAAGATGGAAAAAAAATAGTCATGTATGAAAGTGAGCCAACAAAGACACCTGTTAGAACGGCAGCATTAATGAGATGAGAGTGAATGATGTAAACACAAAAGTGTTTATCTGATATACTGTAACACTGTCAACAACTAGTATTGTAAGTAAAGTTATCATAACTGGTGCTGTATGTCCAGATGCAGTTCACAGCTCACTGAGTACAGAGAGAGAAGCCATGTTTAACTCTGGAAAGATTAGATTGATAAAAATAAGAAAAACATGCAGCTGAGCAGACAGAAGGAGAAAAAAAGAAATGGATCTGAAGGTAGAAACAAAGACGGGGGAGACTTCCTGCCTGACCGCAATAAGTAGAATAGATAAATAAAAGTTGTTGCCTGGTAATGGGTTTAGGTTTTTGTTGTCATACTCTATCTATATTTCTGTGTCTGAAGTTTTTCTTTCAGCCTTTAGAGCTGCTTTATCTGTGGCATAGACTCCACACTGGCTTTTGGATGTGATGATCTCATTGTGGTGTTCAAGAAACCAATATGAGACTAGTTTGGTGTCAGGATCGGGGCAGACTGGATGTTTTTCCCTCTTCTTTCATCACCAGGTGGATTGATGGGCAGGGTTTGCCTCCCAGGTCTCCACGGCTCCTGCCAAGTCATCCTCACAAGTCTCCTACAGGAAATTCTTCCCCGGTTCTCAGAAGTCCGTAAGAGTCACTAGCTGCCGTAACCTTAGCCAACTCTTCCTGCCCACACTAATCCTGCCTCTCCTGTGCAGATGCTCCCTGACTGCCAGTGCTACGTGTACTGTCAGCTGTGATTCTCCCTCCTTGTTTTGCCTTATTTATGTTGTCAAAAGCAAAGCTCGTAATTGTGCTACGCACCGTCTCAGGCTGCTAGAAATTCTTCAGCCATGACACATGGTCTGTGATTCACCCTGAGAGGACAGCAGCACGAGTTATTGTTTCTGCACCATGATACTAAACAGTTTCCTCTGCTCTAAGCTGCCTAGTTATTTCACACAACATTTAATAAACACTAAAATTAATCAGAATATGTTTTTCAACATATTTTCCAATATAAAATAACCCGATAACATCAGCAACACTTAATGTAGAAACCCAGGGTCTAACATGAATTAGGACATTAAAATAATCTTTGAATGTAACATTTATTAAATGTCACTCATGGAGAAGTTCTTACATCTTTTTTCCACCCTTATGAATCAAGTCATTACATGGTGAAAGCCTATCAGATTTAGTGATTTATTTGGTTGAGATGCTCTTTTAGTCCACTTTCCGTATGTATGTAAAACAGAATAATCTGTTAAAGCAAACATGATGCATAGCACCAGATTTCTTCTTCTACAAGAGCTTACAGCCACATCATCACCATTAACAGTCTGGCTACATTTTTCATGCAGTACGAGGATTTTTCTAGTCTTATTTTAATAATCCATCATAATAATCTGTATTTCTCCTATTAAAAAGTCTGTTACATAAGCCATGCTTTGATTACCCTGCTGGTTACGGGTGACGCTTTTTAATGGCTGGAGGTAAATGACAGGATTGTATTCAATCAGCTCAGGTCAGATGGAAAGAGCCTCTCATAAATACCATCACCTCTCATCATCATGTTCAAGTGTGAAGGGTCTGTTAGAGTATAAAGTGTCACATCGTCATTATAGCATCGAAGAGACTGACATATTATGTTTTTATTATTTGCTAGTGATTTTATTTGAAATCTCCATGATGAAAAAAGTTTTACCAGGTAAAAAGCTCAGAATTGGACTCAGAGGTTAGCCATCAGCCTCGGCTGATCTAGGATGACGGTGTTACAAACAACAAACCATAATGACACATACATGTTACACCACAATAGCAACATAAATGCCTTTTTAAACTGTATCTGTTTGGGAAATGACGTTTGGCTAACTGCTAACTATCTACAGTTATGGTTTGTAGCAGTGCAATACTGACAACTGCCACTGGATTACTTTAGTGCTGAAGCATCATAACGAGAAACAGGATAGGATGTGTGCATCGTTAAAATGTCTCCATTTTGGCCAAAGTTATAATGTTATAACATTATAACTTTGGCCAAAATGGAGACATACAAACATGCCAACAAAGTTACTCAGTCAAGAGCAAACAGTAGTACTGTGCCAAAGCGCAAATTATGCTGTTCTGCATAGGCCTAAACCCCCTCAGATCATTGACAAGACACTCTACGGATACATGGATGACATCAAGCTGTATGCCAAGAATGAACGAGAGTGACTGATCCACACCACCAGGATATACAGCAAGGACATCGGAATGTTGTTCGGATTGGAGAAGTGTAGTTGGATGGTAACAAAGAGAGGGAAGGTAGTCAGAACTGAGGGACTGAACTACCAGAAGGCAACATTGCAGACCCAGAGGACAGCTCCAGGTACCTGGGGATCCCACAGGAAAATGGGAACCATGAAGAGGCCGCTAGAAAAGCTGCAACCACCAAGTACCTGCAGAGGGTCAGGCAAGTCCTGAGGAGTCAGCTGAATGGTAAGAACAAGATCCGGGCCATCAACACCTGATCAGGTAACCTGCTGGGATAATAAGCTGGCCAAAGGAGGAGATAGAACCCACTGATATCAAGACCAGGAAGCTCCTGACCATGCATGGAGGGTTTCACCCCAGGTCCAGCGCCCTGGAGAGAAATCTTATATAATTAGTCATGTAAATGTATGTCTCTGATTGATTTCCACTGCCATACAAAATAAGGGTTATCAAAATAAATTGTGCCACAATCAATGTCATACAGTAAAACAAAACCAAAAATAAATGTGAACAACTTGAAATAAGATCTCCTCCTAATAAAACACTGAACTAGGAGAAATATATAACACCAGGCACCTCCCTCATCCCTCCGAGCTGCCCCACAGATGTATAATCCCCCCACAAAAACAGCCCATGCAGCACTGGAGTGGTTGCCTCCAGATTCCCTCCAAGCCCTCTTGTGTAAAGTGCAGCTTCTGTGATTACTGAATAAAATGATTTACCCATTTAGATCCCAAAATGAACACGAAAATAAGAAACCACACATATTTTACAACAATGGTACCGTTTAAGAACTGCTTCTCAGGCAAAATACAAAGCTCTATATGGACCATGTTAGTTCTCTGCACTACAAATGTTACTGTAAAACCACCTTTCATCCCCACTTTGCATTGTTGTCCATAGCATAAAGTTCACTTCCATAAACTGTCTGCATATTGGAGGTTTTCTCATGCTGAAACAGTTTTTCTTTCCCACTGTTACCAAGTGCTTGCTCCAAGGGGGATGTTTGATTGTTGGGTCTTTACTTCACAACATAAAGCTTCCTGAGGCAACTGTTGTTGTGATTTGGTGGCATATAAATAGAATTGAACTGAACTACATGGAACACTGCATCTATTATAACAGCATGGCTTCGTAGTACAATAGTAAAAAAAAAGTGTTGAAATTGCCTGGCTGCAATGCAGATCTTTCACCAATTAAAGACAGCTGGCACAATGTGAAACAAGATGAACTAAAAAAATGAAAACAAGAGAAGATGCTTCACGGCAGTAAACGTCCAGTGAGACATGTTGCTGCCATCATGGTACATTTCCTCACTTTAAACTCTGATTTTATTCTGTTTTGAATAAACGATGCCTTTATTGCTAATCACTACATTCTGTTTTACACACCGCCCCAATGCTTTCAGAAAGGAAGGACCGTACATCTTATTTAAACCAAAACAAACACAAACACACAAAACAAGGGTCTTTATTTAAGCCACAATGAAGTCATAGAACAGAGGGCAACATAAGAATGGTTTTACATCGCGCGTTCTCTAGTATGTGACCACGATCCAGGACAGCCTCGGCCCATCAGTGAGCGATTCAGACTAGAGTCAGTAAATCATAAAAATAAAACTGTATAAAAATAAACCACAGCGCAGAGGCTACACTAAAATAAGAAATGTTTGACGTACACGTGTGCTGTTGTGCTTGCCAATAATAAAATAACCATACACATAAAGGAATTTCACCTCTTTGACTTGCCTTTACTCACATCATTAGTCCCTTTTAGGAATGACAGTGAAATGATGTACCGGAAAATCAGATTAGAAACATATTGTTGAAAAAAGTAATAGTATGAGAAACAAAATACATAATAGACATTTGTTTTTCTAAAATATGGCTCTGCATTAAAAAAAATTTAAATGACATAACACGTTGGTCAGTGAAACCTGATCATCACAGCCCTCACAAGTCCAACACTGAACTCTGTGAACGCAAACATGGATTTACAGACAGCTCAAGTGGTCACAAATGTTACAGTACGGCATGTGCAACAAGGTCACAACGTTACTGCTGAGCTCTGGGTTAGTGTCAGACCGTGGGGACATCCGCCTGCTTTTAGTGCACATATCCAGTTCATCACAAAGATTCAAATAATATACAGACAAAAATAAAAGTGCTATAGTGATAAAGCAAAATCAAAACATCAAAAGCAACATTCAGTCATGAAGCCATTCGGGAATCCTCAGTAGATGACATTTCATTTTGGAAGTTTGTGTCCTGTGCCTCAAACTGCGAGAAAAACAATCAGCAACACACTGAAGCCGCTGCTGCTTTTAGATGATTAGAGTGAGACGGACATGCTAGTTTGAATTTATTATAAGATGCAGATCTTCCTTCTGTCTAAGAGCTGTTCGGTTGGTTTCCCCCCTCAAACCACACGAAGATCTCTCCCGTTTAAAGGGGGCTCTTCCTTCTTACCATTGCTGCTGCTGACTGCTGGGGTTCTCCCTCTAGTACTGTAGGGTCTTTGAGTTTTTCTTTCTTTTTAGTATCAACTCTTTAACCAGTGGAGACACGTTGGAAGCTCAGCAAAACAAAAGACAAATTAAGATGATAAAATGTTCACCAAATGTACTGACGACAGGGTTAATGGTGCATTCTCACTGGATAAACAAGCTGCTTCATGTTTATATATGACAGAAAAATCCTTGCCGTCACTTCTAGAGTTAAATATTTGTAGGAAGGTGGACGTGCATGGACCTGTTCCTCCTCTGGGAACACATAATGTCCTTGAGAATTATCGGAATACTAGTGAGAATCTCGCATTAACGTGTGTAATGCTTTTAATGCTATCAATCATTCTGCAGCTGTTTCATCAGATGGCAGGATGACTCTCTGCGGCTCACAGCTTGAATGCACAGCAAGTGTTCTTGAATAATCAGCATCGATATCTGTGGTTTATGTATGGTTTATTGTGTGTGTGTGTGTGTGTGTGTGTGTGTGTGTGTGTGTGTGTGTGTGTGTGTGTGTGTGTGTGTGTGTGTGTGTGTGTGTTAGCACACTGGAGGTTGGACTGAAGAAGACCAAAAAGACTGCAGTGATTGACAGCTGAAAGGTTTCGTTACCTGGATAACGACGCCCCCTACTGTACAGAGGATGTATGTGCATGTGTGTGTGTCAGAACACTATCAGGGATGGAGGAGGTTTGAGGGAAGGCAGCTGGGTCAAATGGTGATGTAGTGCTGTCGCAGTTTGGCCATCAGGAACTCGTGGGTTAAATTGTGTCGTGTGATTATTCCCACAATCTAAAAAAAAAAGAAAAAAAAAAAAGAGTTGAGTTGGTGAGGACAACATAACACAACAACTCTGTGGCTTCCTCACACGTTTACTAGAGGCACGAAAGCCCAAATCACTTACTTCTCCAACAGCATTAACCACGGGTAAGTGTCGCAGGCCCATAGTCCTGAAGAGGTTAAACACCTGGGAGATGCGGGCATTGGGTGAAACAGTGTAGGGACACGGGTTCATGTAGGGGGTGACATCCTGGGTACACAGAAAGGACGGCCTGTTAATGAATCTGAGTTTTCTGCTTGATTATTTTCTGTCTCAGTCGGGTAAATCGAACGTACCACTATCATGCGAGGGCTGAGCAGAGTGAGGTCGAGGTCATGGATGTCAGGGTAGCGTGGGTAATCTTCAGTCATCTCTGCATACGACAGCCTAGGCTGATTGGTGCTCTGCGTCAGAGGGTACAGAGAAACTGCTCGTATAAGAAAAAGTCATCTCATTTATTATCTACACATGTGTGTCAATGACTGACCGACTGGTTCTCGGCGTAGCACACCCCTCGTATGAGCAGGTTAACCAGCTGGGAGCGAAGGATGAGACCGTGAAAGGTTAGCGGCCTGAAGCGCTCCTCCATGGTCCACTCCTCACTGGGAGACTGGTCTGGGTACAGGTTAGGGTAGGGAGCATGCCTGCAGCACAGAAATCACAGGAGTGCCAGATTTATTTGCAGTTATTATGCACCACAAAGAAAACACAGACAGAATGAAAGGCAGTGTTACAAATACTTGTAGTTACTATGTGCACTGACAGCATCAGGAGTAAATTCAAAAACTTGTGGTAAATATTAGGAGTTCAACTCTTTATAGTACGCCATTCGACATCAGCTTCTCTGGTCATTTGTCATCTGTCTGGAGCAGGGGTGGGAACTCCAGGCCTTGAGGGCCGGTGTCCTGCAGGTTTTGGGTATCACCCTGGTTCAACACACCTGAATCAAATGTTCAGTTCATTACCAGGCCTCTGGAGAACTTCAGGACTTGTTGAGGAGGTAATTTAGCCATTTAACCCTCTCAAGGCAGGCGTTGCAGATTTGCAACAGTTAAAAGCTAACAACCTGATTACCCCACATACATATTTTATGAGTTTTTTTTACTCAGAAGTACCACTGCAGGTATTCTTTTGTGCATTAGCAACAAAAACTTAATTTGAGCCTGAGAGGGTTAAATCAGCTGACACATCTAAAGCCTGCAGGACAGCGGCCCCTGGAGTTCCCACCCCTGCTCCTGAGCGCTGCTTCTGGGTCCCCTTGGTTATACTGCCTCCTCTTGGTCTAAAGAATTATTTCGGACAAACTTCAAAAACCAAAAAACAAACCTCTGACACTGATGATGACAAGAGATTGTAATCAAATCTGTAACATTCAAACTTCTCTGAATTTTAAATCTTTCCTCTCAAGGGGTGGCTGTAGCTGTAGCTCAGCGGGTCATCTCCTAATCGGGAGGTGGTTTGATTCCCTGGCTGCACCAGTCTGCATGACAAATACATACCTTGGGCAAGATGCTAAGCCTGACCAACTCCGGTATAAATGTTTGTGTTTTCGGTCCATTTACCAAATACAAAACCTTAAATAATTAGGCCCCATTTTATCCAGGTTTCAGCTTTCAAGCCTCTCGTCTGTGGATCTCCCAGTTTTTATTTGGGACACAGACACTGTCTGTACTTTTAAGATTAGTCTAAAAACGTTCCTTTTTCATAAAACACATAGTTAGGGCTGGATCAGGTGACCCTGAACTCGGTTATTGCTATGCTACACTAGGCTGAGTGCTCGTCAGTCAACTGTCTAATTACTTCTGGCCCTCTGAAACTATAAATGTCTAAGTATTAATAGTTACTGCCGTATTGTTATCAGACATCCTGAATTAGAGCTTGATGTCTGCACTTTAATCACAACTTGATTGTTTGATTTAAAATCCACTGAGATCAAATTTAGAAGTAAAACTTCAGAGACTGTCTGGATGTGTTTATCTGGCCTACCTCCTCTCTAACATCTGCTGCAGCAGGTCTTCTCCCTCTTCTGAAGGTTCGACTGCAGCACTTTGCTCATCGCAAACATTCCTCAGCTCGCTCGATGGGTACGACTTCATGGACTGGCAGCGCCGTCGCTGTTCGCCCGCACGTGACACAACACTGGATTTCTACATGTAACAGTCAAGGGTTAGAAGAAAACACAGCCTTCAAAAACCACAACAATGATGTCATCCAAAAATAAAGAAACATGAAATTCTTAAATAATTATCTGCACATCAACATATTGCAAAGCTTTGCTCACTACAGAGCCAAACCTATCGGCTCGCACTTTCAAACCCACTGATTCTCCCTGGAGACAAAAATACAAGCTCGGTAGCTGATGTTACTTTGGTTTTTATACTTTATTTAGCTCAGTAACATTTCCTGCTGCCTCTAGGTTTTGTTAAACACTACTTCAACACAGACCATCGAAATGATAGAACCAGTGACAGAAAACTCGATCATCACAGTCTGACCTGTTAGGAAGCACAAACCGTATGAATCCATTTGATCTGCTTCACAAGTGACAACAAGTGCACTGCAGACACACTCAGGCTGCACATACATATGTGGAGACCACCGGTGGCTCCCCGTTCTCCTCATGTTCACACTTTCATTTGCACCCAAGCAGATGAAACTGATGCATGTGGGTTTCTGCTTCCTTACTGGACAGACTGATACACCAAAGGTTTATACTGTGAGGATCAATTTGCATGAATGACACGGCAAAATAGAGCTGACCAAATCAATCATAGTTTCTACTGTTGTTTAATTCTTAATCTTGGAAGGGAAACAAATCCACATTCTTTTCAGAATTATACAAATTACTGACTGCTGTAAAAGTCTGAATGCTCTTTGTTTAATCGATGACGTGTCTGTATCAAAATTATATTATGGGACGAGCAATGAGGAATTAGAAAAAACGAAGAAAAAAGCAGAAGCAACCTGAAGGACATTGCTGGAGCGGCTACAGTGTCACTAAAGAAATGTTTCAAAGTCACCGCTGCCCCTGGTGGGGGGAGCCTTAATCACCTCCATTTGGACGAGAAGCTTGAGCTTGAGCTCTGTAAAAGAGCAGGACATACCTTGAAGTGGATATTGTTGCTGATCAGGATGTTGCCCTTCATGAAATCCCTCTCATTCTGACGGTTTTCAGTAACTACGGGGAAGGCATGGTAGACCGTGGTGCGCAGAATGCTGACTAGAGACTGGACTCGGGTGTGGGGGTACACGTAAGTCAAGTTGGTCTCCATGATATCACTGGCTGTCAGCCTTGAAGAAATGAGAGATAAAGACAACCTGAGTCCACAGGAAGAGCGACCATGCTCGAATCACACAGTTTGGGTTTTTAACCTCACCCTCACACTGCAGGCTTATTATGGCGTTCCTAGAATCTGTAAAGGCAGAAAACGAGACAGAGCCTCTCATGCTAATGCTGAGACTGACAGCTTTGTCTTTTTGATGAAGTGCATCGAGGAAGCTTTGACACTGCTTTAGCCTTTCACCAAAATGGACTAAATTCATTTTTCACCTACATTTTTTTCAACTATTTGCAAAAATCTCAACATCTAAACAGTTTGAGGCGTGTATTCACCGATGAAAGGCAACATCAAATCCCCTGACAGATCAGCTCTGCAATATAAAGACTTGTCATAAACCACCTCATTTTTCAATTTCCACCTTAACCCTTCAGCTACCCTACCATGGTGGAGGGGTTTGTGTGCTCCAGTGATGCTAGGGTGAGGAGGCTCTTGTTTTGTACCCTCCCCGGGACAGGATTACTGGGGCCACACCCTCGAGTCAGGCCTGGGGAGGTAGCTCGATGGAGAGTGCCTGGTGGATGGGCTTTAGCCCATGGGGTTTGGCCGGACTCAGCCCGTCTCTCTTCTGTAGACCCACCACCTGCAGGAGGCGCCATAAAGGTCTGAGCATTGTGTGTCGGGGTCTCAGGGTGTGTTACGCCCCTCTGCAGTCCCTAATCTCTTTGCAGTGACAGTGCAAGAGTGTTCAGCTGTTGCTAATTGACCACACCTAGTCAGGTGTGGATAAAGGCATACCTGAGGCAGGCTTTCAGGGAGGATCACTAGTCTTTGCCTTGGTGGTGCCAGCTATTTTAGCCAACTTGCCATGTAATTTTAGAAAAAACTATTCTTGTTGAAATTCTGGTGTTCGTCTCCATATTTATGTTGCGGCTTTCAAGCCGGGTCATAACAGGGTGTTTTTCACAAGTGAGAAGAGAGGCAGATTAACACATGGATTGATGCTGCGTCTACAGTACCGATTCATCTTGGTAAATAAAGAGCGAAGCATAAAAGTAAAGCTTTTCTGATCGATTTACATCCCTACATGACCTGTGGTCACAAGCTCTGGGTAGCGATCGAAAGAATGAGATTGTGGTTCCCGCAGATAAGCTGGAGCTCTGGGCATTCTTGCTTTTAGGGTGTTAGCTCCACAATCCGGCCCCAGACGAGCATTGAATGGAACAATGAAGTATCAGACCTGTGCTTTGTGTAAGCAAGTAAGTAAGTAAAACTTTATTTATATAGCACCTTTCTAGATAAAAGATTGCAAAGTGCTTCACACAAGGGTAACAAAGCATAAAACAGCGGACAACAGTTAGCAAAATGCAATTCTAAAAAGTGTGATTTAGTTGTTTTTTGAAAGAAGCTACTGAGTCCAGAGATCTTATGCTCAGTGGGAGAGAGTTCCACAGTCTGGGAGCCACAGTGGCAAAAGCTCTGTCTCCCTTAGTTCTCAGCTTTGTATGATGAATGACAAGAAGACCCTGATCACATGACCTCAGAGACCTGCTAGGAACATAAGGCTGTAGAAGTTCAATGATGTAGGCAACAGAAGAAAAAAAACGAATAGATACTTGAGGTTGGCAGCTGCATTGATCTGGAGAGTTGAACTGCTCTGGGCTAAGGAGGGATACCAACGCCTACTGACAATGCTGACAACACAGTTCATCCACCACAAGGGCCAACTGTCCTTTTTTGTTGCCAACAACAATTCTTACCTGTCCATCTCTACCTCAGTCTCCCACTCGAGCAGAGGCACTCCTCTCAGCTGGATGTGTATATCATAGATGCCCTTGTTGAAGAAATCACCAGTCCACTTGGCAACCTGACAGTCAACACAAAAGAATTTGCACATGAACTCAGGTCACAGTGGCGAACAGTGCAAAGTGCAAAAACACATGGTTGTGTACCATTAGCGTAATCATGATGGGCAGCCCGTATGTGATTTCATTGGTGGATTCAATGAGGATGACAGTGAGGCTGATGGTCATTCTGACCACACCTCCAAGGAAGGCAGCAGCTCCAATGAGAGCAAAGGTTCCTGAGTAGATGTCCATTCCCAGTTTCCTAACAGAGGACAGACTCATTAAGAACCAGTATAACCACTGAGAGAATGTGACAACTGAAAGTGTTACGACTCAGTTTGCTTTGTTTTCACTCTGATAAGGTCGATAATGTCTGTTCATTTTGTTCAGTCTTTTCTATCATGTAAGCTGCAGGTGGCAGCTTGTTGGAGACTGGATGCACCACCTTTTAATTGGTACCCATCCAGACCAGTTTGGCTCCACCTTCTTCCTGACTCCCAGACAGATTGTGTCGTGTTTCTGAATCAAGATATGTCTGAATCTAGAAGAGCTGGATTAGCAGCTTTGTATGTACTGTCAGTTCTCTACAAATAGCCCAGGTAAACACATTTCTCCTGTTTCTGTTAGCGAAGGATGTAAGAGTCCTGCATTGCTTTTGTTTATTTTTGGGGTAATTCCCCTGAGAACACTGAGTTTCAGTTTGTACCCACCCTGACCTTTTGTAAGTGGAAAATACACCAAAATGTTTGGAGTGCAAATCTTGCCGCAGCACTGGGAGTGAGGAACAAGGAGTTACTTCTATGGTATTCTCTGGCTGTCTTAGGCTGGGGTGTAATATAAAGTGTAGGGGCACCAACTAACTGGAAGCTGGGCGGTTTGATACCTAAATATCACACCTGCTAAATATCGTTGGACAATACACTAACCCCAAGGTGCTCTCTGGTGCATCCACCCATAGATGTGAATGTTAGGCTACGTTCACACTGCAGGTCTTAATGCTCAATTCAGATTTTTTGATCAAATCCGATTTTTTTTTTTTGTCTGCTTGTTCACACTACAAATAAAATGTGACAACAAACGCACTCTAGTGTGAACGGTTCACGGCCCTCAAAGCGGCCGCATGCGCAAAAGAAGACGTCACAGACAACGCGCTCTGTTTACGGAAGTAAAAATGGCGGCTACAAAGCGAGGAGGGGTTGTTGCAACAGTCCATCAATTTCTGCACAGTCGTAACCGACAGAATTTTGACAAATTAATTAGAGAAAGAAGGACACTGAGAAAACAGAGAGCCGTGCTTTAACAATGGCCGCCATGCTTTCTCGTTTGTCTTCTCCGGCGCTGATAATTGGCGTCTGTCTTGTGTCAGTGACGTAAAAGACGGATTTAATGCGACATGACCATTCAAACAGCAGTCGCTTTCTAAAACATCAGATATGTATCGGATTCAGTACCACATACGAAAGTGACCCAGATTGGATTTGTGCCGTTCACACTGTCATACCATGATCAGATATGGGTCGCATAGGGTCAAAAAGTCAGATTTGATGTGCTTTCACCTGCAGTGTGAACGTAGCCTTAGATAGAAAACACTTGAGCAGAAAAAAGTGCTTGTATCAACAGTGACTGCTCTCAGTTCAGCTCAACACGGGGCTGTGACAGAGAAAAAGTGAGAAAGAGCATATTCTAATTAGTTCTTACACTTTGAGCACGTTGGCAACCAAGCGTCCAAAAGCTGCCCCACACAGCAGTGAGGGGACAAAAAGGCCACTGGGGACAGACACACCATATGTCCAACAGGCCAGCAGGAAGTATAAGAAGAAGAACACTGACAGAGTCACAGGGCTGAAGGTACCTGAGGGGGAGAGTTAGAAACCAGCATTAAAAATGAGCATTATTATATATATGTAAGCATTAAATTTACTGAAGAGAGAAGAGATTACGACACTGAGTCATGAAAGGCTAAGCAATACTAAAGACAACACACATTTATTTCATTCAAAGTGTACATACACCATAAAATAAAACAGATTTTCTTTTTCAAACTGCATTGTTGCGGTGCTGGAGAACGTACAGACGTGGTCTGAAGGATTTAGGAAATATTAGTGGGCACATTTAATCAATGACTGTATAAAGATCCAAACAAAATGAAGATTGATTCCAGTCTGACCTCAGAAGCCTCAGTGAGCAGAGTGAATGGAAAACTACAACTCCGTATAATAGTTTGTTTATTGATAGAATTGAACTTGATTTTTGAAAAATGGCCTAAAATGCCACTTCACTGTACGGGGTACATGAGTAATGCATGGAATGAATCATGTGTGAACTCATCTAACCATCCTGATGGAAGAGCTGGTGGATGGCTGCCTCCTGTGGGTTGAAGAACAGTGTTGCCATATCATTGTAGGTCTTGTTTGAGCAGAAGAACTGTCGAATGGTTGAGTTGATGTCCTCACTGCCAGCCAGCTAAAAAACATACGTCACAGGTTAACATGGTCACATAGTGAGGCTCGATTTTTCACCGGAGTGAGGAGGTAAAAATTATTAACAAGATGATCGACCTCTGTTGGCGTAGCGTTCAGGTAGCTGCTCTGCTCTGTGTTGGTACAGGGCATTGAAGATGATAACAGTGGGTGGATTATATTCTTAAACTTAGTTACAGCGCTTTCAGAAAGACATCTACTGTGATAAAGTCTGCTCTCCACTGCTGTGTAATCAATTATTGTAAATGTTATCAGGAAATGATCAGACAGGAGAGGGTTTTCAGGAAACACTGTTAAATGTTCAGTTTCTATGCCATATGTTAACACAAGATGTAGAGTGTGGTTAAAGTGGTGGGTGGGTTCTTTTACATTTTGACAGAAGCCAACTGAGTCTAATAACAGATGAAATGCTGTGTTGTCATTTTTAATATATCATTCCGTCATAAATCAGCACATTTTTAGGAGATGTTCTGCTTGACCACCTGATTTGGATAAAACTTTTATGATTTAAAGTTTAAACATATAAATAAAAAATTAATATGCTTATATATCATTCAGACATCATCACTGATTAAAATGTGAAGTTTAATACTGTATGGGTCTTTACCAGACAGCTTGAAATAATTTCCATATTTTAGTGGGCCAATACTCATATTTTGTGATGCATCTGTGCCAAATTGCAGATCCTCATTTATTTTAATGGTAGAAACACTTGTAGTCCAAGAAAGGTCGTAGGTCGTACACAGGGAGCAGGCAGGAAAACCTCGGGATCCCGCTTCTATGGACTTATAGTCACTCACTCACATGTTCTCAGCCTCTCCACCGGCACTGATCTACAAGTTCTCGGTACTTTGGATGTTTGCATTTTTTTGCTTCTTCCAGCACGATCCTCACAGGGAACTGTAAGCTTAACTACAAGGACTCTTTCAGGGAGAAATAGCTGTAAGTACCATATCTGGCCTCAATGAGGTTGGTGTCATACGGTCTGGGAACTTCTCTTGATGCGTTTGTGAGTCTCAGTCTAAAGCTGAAAAGGCCGTCTGATGGTTTTGGCTGAGGCTTCTCTCTAGCCAACAGCAAGCAGCTGTGCTGAGGGTGGCATCAGCTCAGGAGGTAGAGCAGGTCACCTACTAATCAGAGGTTTGATCCCTGTCTGCATGCCAAATATCCTGGGCCAAGATACTCTCTGATGAATGTGTGAGACTTTCGGATAGAAAGCACTTACATGCTCCAGCACAGTAGACCAGTGCCACAAGAACCAGTCCATTTACCATGTTGGCCAATGAATTGAAGATGGTATTCACTGTACATGTTCATAAATAGTTAAGTAAACCAAAGATGGTTGAGCAGAAAATATTCTGAAACTTTGATGATTACAGATGGAATGAAAAAGGAAAACATATTGAACAAAAGTATTTTCTGTTAGCAAAGCATCTGAAAACTCAAGAATCCTGCTCTGTCTGAACAGGACAGTCTTATTTTTGTTTTTGTGGTACAACTTTTCATATTTGCTCAATCCAGCAAGAACATTGAAATGTAAAGTAAATTTAACTATGCACCATTAAGACGTTGTCAGTACAATATTAAATAAAAACTGTCATGTAGTTTAATGCTAACTTTGCAAGACTTCTTGAATTAGTTTTCATATTTTAATTAGCCAGTGTATTTTTGATACATCGGCCCCAGATTACAGATCCTGGTTCATTTTAAGGGTAAGAAAGGCTCATGGAAATGTCAGGCTTTTGTCATTAATAGTTTCTGAATTATTCACATTCAAACGGTGTGACAGATTTCAATCTGAGGAAAAAAAAAGGCCTGAAAGTGGGCTGACACTCACACAAATATATCTTAAAGAGTATTTGAAGCTAAAATATCACAGTAATCATAACATACGTTTAAAGTTTAGACCAGTGAAAACACACCTGTGGTGTTTTTGTTCAGTAATGCAAAGATTATTAAAATTCTTACCGTGGTGTTGTGAGCTGTGGGAGTGGACAGGTCACGACATTCACCCAGCATGGAAGCCGCAAAAATCACAATCGTTGTCACCATGGTAACCAGCAGACTCTCTAAAACTCTGAAACATTAGAACAATCGTTTATTATCCTCTGGTTACAAAGTTAGGCACATATTTAACGACAGTTTGCACCTTTATAAAAAGAAACACAATTACAGTAACTGATTGGAAAATTATCAATTAAAAGGAGCGCCTCGTTAATTTATTCAGCAGAACACGTCATCTTTCTCTCAGTGCGCAGATTTTAGGGAAGAATCTATTTAAACAAATGATAGAAAACTGGGACGGGAGCTCATTCATTACTAACAGTGCTGTTTGTAAAGGAGACGAAGCTCGTGTGAGTCTGACATATCGGTGCCAGCTTCTACTGAGAACAGAAATGGATTTTCCAGTGGAAAATGTGGATGTGTCACAGGTTTGACGGCAGTGTCACTCTAACCACTGTGGCAGTGAAACAACAGTGAAATCTTTGGTCCAAATGTTTACAGACCCGTTCTGCATGTTCCTGGTCCTGATACATAACATGGATCACCAGAAGGAGTTTCTAAACACAACTCAGTTACTTTCCATAGTGAACAGAGCGGTTTGTGACTTTCCAGTAGGGCTGGGCCATATCATACCGTTCACGGTAATACCAGTATAATATTGGGCAACGATAAGAAAAAGAAATACCGCGATAGAATATGGATAAAACGTACGGAGCCCCGCAGGGGACATGGGAGAAAAAAAAAATTAAGACGGACTTTTGCGAGATCCCGAGTTTGTTTTGCAAAAAAAAATTTTCTCCCATGTCCCCTGCGGGGCTCCGTAAAAACGCGCATGTGCAGTGCCTTTGTTTTCATACGCACATGGCGGAAAAAGCATGGCAGCGACGGAGAATGAGAAGGGCGAAAGCGGATTGTTGAATGAAACGGATGAACCAGAAGTGGTTTTAAAAATTGCTGCAACTTCAGTGTAGAACTGGTTTAGATTTCGTCCATCAGATACACAACAAAGCACTATTTTTGGTAGAGCATGATAGCGGGCCATCATTATTACCATATTTTTTGGAAAATACGGCACACTTAAAATCAATCCTTTGATTTTTCTGAAAATCGACAGTGCCCCTTATAATCCCGTGCACCTTATGTATGAACTCTGGTTGTGTTTACTGACCTCGAAACGATTTTATGTCGTACACAGCGCTCGAAAATCTGTCAAATGTTTTAGTACGACTTTGCTAAGCTACGAACCCGCACCGCTTGATGGATTGTCGGAGCATTACGACTATCGTAGTCAGGAGCCTCGCGGAGTGATACGTACTGTGCTTCAACATAATATTACTGTATTGTGTGTGTATAACCTCTTTTTAAGTTTTGTGGATATTATACATGGTTATGCTGAGGATATGTCGGCCAGTTTCCACTGGAAATGCCTTTTGGTTCAACTGTGAGCAAGGAATTTGCATTTGCACTGTTAATTTTATATAACTTTAATGCACATAAAAACAGCTGCTTGTTTAAGTGAAAATACATAGATGGGTTTTTTTGCACTAATAAAGTTGTGGAGTTGTAAAGTATTTTGTCTCACATCAATTATATCGTCAGTTATATCATCATCGCAAATTTTCAAATGTATATATCGTGATAAATATTTTTGGTCATATCGCCCTGCTCTACTTTCCAGGTTTTTGTATACGTTACCATGGAGATCATTGTACTGGTACTTATAAAGCACTTTTCTAGTCTTACTGACCATGTGACCAAGTGCTTCAGACGATATATTATCTTGTCCTCTTTACATCTAATCATACATTCATACAGAGTTTTATTCGATCCACTTGCTGATGCATGGTCAAATTAGACTGAACAATGACTCTATTACACATGCTGCATGGACTGTGAGAGAAAACTGGAATACCTGGAGAGGAACCGTGCAGGCACACAGGGAACAGTGTGTGTGCGCCACACAGGTCTCGTATCTAGGCTTTATGGCCCATTCTAGGCTTCCTTGTTTGTTTCTCTACAGATGTCAGTATGTGAGACTTCTTCCATTCCTTTGCATGCAGCTTTATACCGCATGCAACAAAATGACAGTGGTATGCTATGATGTAACACAGGAACGTTCAGGTAATATTCTGGGTGTTGACCAACCACACATCTACCAGCTTGTTATACACAGATTTCAGGAATTTACTGAGGAATTGTTTGTAATAAAGCCTTTGCCTTTCTAACGTTTGTCCTGCTCTGAACGTTCCCTGTTATGTTTGTTCCAACTGTGAACAGCAGCTTGGCTCTGAGATAACATTATTATTGTCGGGTCTGCCTTACAATATAAAGCAGCTTGAGACTCTTGTTGTGATTTGGTGCTATATAAATAAAATTGAATTGTAGATGCTGTTCACACAGTTATGCATTATCAGTAGATCACGTTAAAAACCTTTCACTTCAGTTCATGTTTGTCTTACACCAAACTGCTCGGCTCCTAGTGTCACAGTCTGATGAACATGAAAAGCACAGATGGGATCAAAGATGGTCAAACAGTTCACCTGATAAACTTGGCCTTAGGATGAATGTGTCTTATGCGATACTTGGCCAGGTTCTTGTTCATGCAGTTAAAGAGCGCCCCCAGAAGGCCGCCCACCACACCCATCAGGACAAAGAAGGCAAGATCCACAGCTGTCCACAGGTGGCAGTTCTTGTCTCCATCTGGACACTGGTCAGCAAGAGGAATAAAACCATAATAATATTTACATCCGGCTGATATTAGTGATAATAATTTGGGGTCTGATATTTGGATGATTTGAACAGGAGGTTGGCATCAAGTCTGTAGAAGGATAGTGTTTGCTCTAAAGAGAAAGCAAACAGTGGCAGCAAATATAAATTCTTAAGGCTTCGACAAATGGAGCAAGTTTCAACAGCAGATGAGGAGACATCCATGAGCTGTTTTCAAAGTGCAAAAACACTAGAGAAAAATGTATTCTCCCAAATGACAGATTTTGCCACTTGGATAAAAAATCCACATCAGTGTGGGTACAGAAGGAAAAGTCAAAACTGGAAGCAAACAAATCACCAAGCTTCTTTTTCCAAGTTTTTTTCTACAAAGTCTAATCTTTGCAAACTGTTGCAACATCTCCCTCTGTAGAATCTGTCAATCTCTGCACATCTATACTGACACATCATTAAAATTGGGCTAAAGACCTGCGAAATCCGACACTCGCGTCTTCAACACAGCTGCCAGGTTACATAAATTGAGTGGTGCATGACCTGCAGATCTTTAGTCATGTCAGCAGCTGTCACATCAGTTCAACATCAACTTTGTTATCGAGTACTGGAAAGCTCTGCACAGCGGGTATAAACTGGGTCGGTTGCAAGAGATATCACAGACAGGAAGAGGCAGTAACGATGATGTGAGGAGCAGATATGAGGTGAGATGGTGGAACAGTTGGGCTAATGGTGACCCCACAGACTCCGTTTTTTAAATCCATATGTAAACATGTCAGAACAGATTAGTTGAGATTCGGTTGTTTTAAATTCATTTGTGTCAGTTGTATTTACATATCACCTACTCACAAAAACAGGTGCCTCAAGGCACTTTATACGGTAAGGTAAAGCCCTACAATCCAACAATCGTGAGCCCCTGTGAACAGCATTTGGCGACAAGAAAAACTCCCTTTTTAAAGGAAGAAACCACATAAAAAGGTACCATATGGTAAAGTTTAGTCACCCCAGATCAGTGTTTCCCTACCCACAGGGTTGGCATGTTGCTTTTGGAACCGTCCTCAAAATCAAATCAATGAGTCAATCAATACAATGAGTCACTGTGTAGACCTAGAGTCTGTTATTTCAGCATCACACTTTATATAAAAAATAAAATACTATATATAATCTTTGAAGATACATTTTGTACCACATGGAATAACAAGATAAGAAACTCTTAACCTTGAACTCTCCAAAGTTCAGGAGGCCAGGCAGCTGGAAGGAGCCCCACTTGCTGAAGTTGATTCCCGAACGGAAGAAGTTGAGAGTAAAAGTGGCCGACATGGAACAGAAGAGCTAAAACAGTAGATAGACAAGAGGAACATTTAATCACACTCATTGGTCAGTAAAGGTCAGAGAGATTGGATGGTGCACTGTGTCCTGGTCTACCTGGCTATATCTATAAAGCAGATGGATTGTTGTTGCAAATAAGGGAAAAATGACAGGATCAAATTTCATGTACTTTTATCCTCTTGGTGTACTTCTGATCCAAAGCAAACGTTAATCTGTCGTGCAAACTTTCAGCTTTAGGTCAAAACCATCAACTGTTTAGGTTTAAAGACGTTTTTGCACATTTTCAGAGCTCAATTTTACAATTGACTGACGAGCAAGTAAAGCTTGTTCTCTTGTTATTTGATGACAAATGAAGCAGGTAAAACAGAAATAGAAGAACAGAATGAATTTTTATTTTATAGCATTTCAGTGTAACTCCTAAATATGATATCCAAAGAGGTATCCGTGCATCTTTATCAAAGAAATTGTGGTGAAGTAACTATAAAGGGTGACCTACCACTTTCCATGTAAGGGCTTGGTTCCAGAATGACGAGCCCTCCTCCAGACTGAAGAGGGTGCCACCAATTGGCGCACCAAAGGCAGCAGCTACTCCAGCAGCAGCACCAGCTGACACAAAGTCTCGCTTGTCCCTGAAGAACAGGTAAGAAAACTGTCAGTCACATGTCACACATGTTACACTGCTAGGAGGCAGTAACAGTGTTTGTGCCAAAAAGTTGGAACATTGTGTAAACTACAAATGACAAGAAAATCCGTTGCTTTGGAGATTATTCAAACTCTTTGAACAACTAAAAATAGACTTTGTATAGTAAAGAGAGAGAGCTGGTCGATAATATTGGAGAGTCTCTGTTATACCAGAGTAGGGATAATCTTTAAGAGAAGACACATAAATAATGCGAAGGTGAAGACAGCGTCATACAGGATCATGAGCCTGAAGCTGGAAATTAAAGGGGTGGTGTTGAATGCTGTTTTATTTAGTGCCAAATCACAAAAACAGTTGCTTCAAAGCATTTTATATTGTACAGTAAAGAAAGTATAATAACGCAACACTCAGAAGATCCCCTGTGAGCAAGCACTTGGCCTCCTGTTAAGTTTTTCCTGTTTAACAGGAAGAAACCTCCAGCAGAACCAGGCTCAGGGAGGGGCAGCGACCAGCTGGGGGTAAAGGGAAGGAGACAGGGCCCAAGACAAGCAGGGGAAAAGAGTCAAAGCTTAGTAGTAACTAATGATTACATGCAAAGTGGTTTGCATAAACAAACTGAGAGTGAAAAGAGGTGAGTGAAGAAGTCAGAAGAGAAAGATGAGGAAATAGTCAAAGAAAATGTGGCCTAGGCAGAAAGATGAACAAAGCAGCCGGGAGCACAGGCGAGGTTAGGATGTGGATGCGAGGCTGGACGATAACGAAGGACAAAAGGACTTGTACTGATTGTCTACAAAGAGAAAATGAGCTGGAAAGGAAAGGATGCACAGCAGGTTAGTGTGGTTAACAATAACAACTGAAATCTACTAACAAGTGGAGAGAGTGTGTTGAGAAGATGGTAGGAGTGCTGTGAGGGGCTCAGGAATGAAGAGAGAGGACGGATGGAGCAAAGTCAGTGAATCAGGAACTGAAGAGGATTAGTAAGAGGACAAGAGTGCAGCTGTGAATTCACACCATGCTCTGTATTAGAAATCATTCCCATGTTTCATCTTATCCAGATTATTAATCCCCTGTTCTTTTTTCTCAACAGACTCTCCTTGAATGAAGCTGTCGGTCAGCTTCTTCCAACGATGCTTCCACTGCTCCACGCCTCCTGCAGCCGAGCCACGGACCACAATCTGCAAGTTCGTCACTTACAAGGCTTCTAAGTAAACTTATGTCACACCCTTGCAAAAGCAGTTATACTGGCTCCCAGTCAGTGTCAGGGTCCAGTTTAAGAGTCTGGTTTAACTTTGGGCAATTATGCAGCACAGATCAGTAAAGATTTACATCTGTAGGTCCCCAGCAGGTCCCTGACGTTTTCAGGATATCAAGGTCTGCTGTGTATCACACAGCACTGAGCAAATCCTAGTATTCTGTTTTTATTTACATTTACACCATATTCCAACTTTAGTTTGACTCAGGATCGTTACTGTCACATACCTGTCGCTGCGGAAGTAGGGAAAGTCAAATTTGATCTTCCTGAAAGTAATGCTCTGAAACTGATGGAGAGAGAAAAGGTCTGATATCCACAAGTACGACCAGACAAATCACAAGAATAACACCAGTGCTATTTTTAGTGTCCAAAATGTTTCACAAAACAACAACAACAACTAGAACTAAGCAAACTAGAATAAGCTTTGGGGTACTTGAGGAAGGCCGGCTCCCACGATGGCTCCACTGTGGATCATTGGACCTTCCTTCCCCACAAAGAGACCTGAGCACACAGAGTCAGTCCATCAGCCTTCTGACCCTGGCTCATCATTCATCATCAACATCATTTTGCTCTAAAGTTAGCAGAAGCTGACACTGCTTGACTCAAAGTATAAAACCTCATTAGTGATCTTGTTTTGCCTTAGTTAACCTAAAACACCACCGGGAGCACAAAGATATTTCTTCTATGTTTGCTCCCAATTCTGCACCTCCCATATGAAGTCATTATGATCACAACACAAAATATTCCAATAAAGTGCTTTGCTGTCAGAGTACAGGACTGCCTGTGGTGTCTGCAGGTTACAAAAGTAGATGCTTAACAAGTATCACGCAGGGAATACCGCAGGGCATCTGTGACGTCCATATTTTACACAACTTTCAGAAACAAGCCCAAGAACATGAAAACTCTACACAGAGTCTACCCTGCGCCTCCAGGAAGGAAACAACAGTAGTAACCAGGGAGGAGGAGGAGGAGGTTGTGTGCGTGCATCTACCCTGGGTTGTTGATAATATTATTATTGGGTACAGTAAATGTCAGGGAGTCAAACGCACTTTACCTCCAGCTACACTGAACAGGACTCCAGCAGCCTTGCAGAGAAAAGTTCGTAGTCGAACAATTCCAGGAATCTTCACTCCGTTCAAGTAACTTTTGATTTCTGGAATCCCTGATCCTGCAGCCACAGGCTGAAAACACGATACTGCAGGTCAGTGTGTAATCTAGTATCACAAACATACCAGAATGAAACAACATGCTACAACCAGTTAACAAACTTGGCCAGGTAGAGATGCAGGTAGACAGGTCTCAAATGCAAGGACCGCAGAATTTGCACACTTTAACTGTTAAAGCAGGAGTTCTTTCCTGAGTTTGTCAGCTGCAGCTGAGATGCTTACCTCGATGAGGACGAGTACACTGGCAATGAAGACGAAGGTCATGTTGAACGCCAGGAGCTCCAGCAAGGACAAAGACAGACAGCCTTTGTCACTGCACTTCTCTATAGCTGGAGGCTTCAGTTAAAGTAGAATCACCACATCAACAAACAAAGTGTGGTTACACACAGTAACACTCTTTAGATGAAGAGTCAGGCAGTAAAAAGAAACCATATGACAGATACTAGCGAAGGGATCAAACCCAGGCATGAAAACACACATATACAGCACAGGATGAACCAAACATTACTTCACACTATTATTACAGCATCTGCATCATATGAACACACTCTGAATTCTTTCTAGAACAAAAAGATAGACCTGACATTTGTTTGGACCAACTCTGGACAATGTTCAAACAAACACAAAAGAAAAAGGGCATAAAAATGTGCACCTGCTGTCAGCAATCTCTGAAGAAATAATGCAATATTTTGTGCAACTTTACAAACGCTCTCCTTCTGTGCGAGGATCTTCTAAGCCACAACATTTCTGCCCAATATTTAGTACAGAGTCATGTTAAAGGATACAATCACCAACCACAGTAAACTTTAGTTTGTTGAAGAGGCGTACGAAAAAATCCACAAACAGGCCCAGCTGAAAGAGAGCAACGTTTCTTATTGAGCAGCTGAAATCCAGCAAAACAAAAAGAAAACCCAGAATGCACCTTACCAGGCCCACTGTGACCCCGATCGCAAACACCATCATCCAATGCACCGCCTCATATTTTTTGGCTTTCTGTTGGCAGACAAGAAAATAAAAAAACAGTTTTTTTCTCTCATATATAAGAGACTAAAAACATTTCTGCGTTGGATGAATAATACACACACGTTCCCAGTCGCACAGTTTGTGCTTTATTCTGTGGTTTTAGTGAGAGTTCACAAGCTCCACATACTAAATGTATTCCCCCAGCATTGAATCTATACAGGATTAAAAATGCTGTAAATAAAAGTGATGGAGACGTGGAACAGAACCTCCCTGTCACCAGGCTGTGTTCAGCATAAGCTACTATAGTGGTTTAGAAGGTAAAAAGAGAGCCACTGTAGTGATACAGAAAACCCCTCTAACTTTAGCTAACCATGCTAATCGTGCTTCGTAGTACAGCCCGCAGGACTTTCAATGATCTGTATACAAATGCTGCCATCTGTATATGCCTCATACATCGAATGTAGGGCCGAAGAATAAAGCTTGGTGACAATGACGTAGCTCTAGAACTTTTGCAGGTATGGTGGTGTAACAGTGGCACTCCAGGGCAGTCGCATCAATATCTCTATGACTGGATAAATGGAAATGTAATGCTGACAAATAATTCACAGTAATTCTTCAGAGTCTTCATTGATATTCTTGTGGCCATGTGTAGCAGTACTGTCTGACGGTATCCTAACGGCCCTGCTGCTTTCATCCCTGACCTCCTCCCAGCTGTAGGAGAGTGCTGTTCTCTGCTGTGTTTCCTAATTCCTGGAACATTGTTATTATCACTGCAGTGACCGTGACATGTTACAGAAACTTTGATTAAATGGAGGCTAAAAGATCGTGATGCTGTCTAAGTTTAAATCCATCAACGATCCACGTGACTTCTAGATTCAAACTACTGTTACAGTCATATTTCTTTGGATTTTGAGATCTGCCCCAATAAAGTGGACAGATCCCACGTGACCTGTTCTAACATAACACTGCATAGAAAATGTTTCCTTAATCTGATTATGAATCATTCACAACTTTTAGAAAATAGGAAACATTTTTAAAAGGAGGTTTGTTCAAATTAATATTAAAATATTTGAGCTAGCTCAATATTTATAATAGAGTGGTTTCTGTGTGTCTGTGCGATCAAATATGAAAAGCTGATTAGTAACACTGATCAAGATTAAAAACACAGAGCTTTGTGGAACATCAACTTTAATACAGATCAGCTGCTGGCACAAGTCCTACTATCAGTGATCTCATCATGTGATGTAAAACAATAAACGTGCATCGGTGACAGCCTTTGCACAGGCGTCATCCACACAGGAGCAGATGACACATTTAACCTGTCTTACCTTGTTGTCCATCCCCTCCAGGACCTCCACATAAGGCTCACTGATGCAGCGGTCATAATCCAAGCTCTGTGGACACAAAACACTGTGTGACTATTTCCTGCCTCACACATCGATTGTGTCCAGTACCGAAAAAAATAAATCTGCTCTGGCATTTCTGCTCTAAACACATAATATAAGATCTCTTTGAAGGCTTTCTCCAGCAAGTCTCACCTCATAGTCTTTCCTGGGTAGAATCTGTTCCTCGTCTGGGATTTCCCCAAGGATTGTCTGGGGGGGTAAACAAACAAATAATTATGTATGTATTTACATATACACACAAGGATATTTGACCACAAATTAAGCTTCCTACTAAAGGTTCAGCTAAATGTGTGCGCCTGCATGTTGGAAAAAATAATAAATAACAAATAAATAGAGGAAATAAACAAAGAAATGAGTGTGGAATTAGTACTTGACTCCTGCACCACCATCCAAAGCATCCAACACTGGACACACTTAGTTCCTGTAGGAAGTGATGCTCGGACTTATGGTTTAAAACCAGTGAGAAGCAACAGTTTGTTCACAGATTCTTAGACATGGAATATGTTTTATATGTGCAACATGTGAAGCTGTGCCTCAGCGAAACCACAAAATGAAGACATAAGCAGCACTGTTGCTGGAATTTGCATATATTAAACTGTCAATACAGAAAATCTATGAAAGTTTGGTTGTAATCTGATCTAAATCTGTTTTACATTGTGGAACTAGAACAGTTACAGTTGGAAGGTAATTGTATCCACAGTAGGTCTCCTATTCCATCAATAAACTCCATTTACTCTGCTGTGGTTACAAACTACAGCGATTAGTAACCTTTACTTTTTAAATGTATGTAGTTGAAAGTTTCAGAGCTTTCATGTCAAGCTGTCCCGTTAGAATTACACAGCTTTACTTAAGAGCAGCGTTCAATTCAATGCACAAACTCCAGGTTACATGTTTAACTAATGCAAATAAAGCCGGGCTATGTCCATACTGCCTTCGCAGTATACTTCTCGGAGGTCCTGTAAGACTACGCCTTTGCTTGGTGTAATCACAACATTCAAAATGTGGGGAAATAAATAGAAAGAGGTTATTTTCCACGCGACAAACACGCCGCATTGCACAATAGCTTCCCACACCTACTGAAAGATTAAAACCATATGAAATGAGGCAGAGATTAAATTGATTAAAATAAGAAGATTGCTTAATCTGAGGAAATTATAAATGGAGTTTGGTCCACGGACTATATCGTCACACGGAAAAACGAGAAGCTCTCTCTTCTGTAAGCAGCAATATTACAGCTGACTTAACGACTATACATTCATAATGTGCATTAATAAGTATTCCTCGCTTTCCTGCAAAAGAACCAAGACAAGAGAACATAGTGAGCAGCGGGGTGGAGCAGCTCAGCCAGAATAAAGCGCTTAGAATAGCTCAGAGGAAATCCTAAAAACCCCAAAGTAAACACAACATAAGCAGATGATGCTTCCTGTGCTTGTTATCACGTCTTTCTTTACCAGCTCTTCTGGGGTCCGTGTCTCTCCCTCTCTACAACAACACTGGCAACAAAAACATCTTCCACAGCACGCCATTTTCGTTGTTGTGTCATGCTGTATTCAGGGGCTGTCATAAAAAGTAAAGATTGTTTTAGACGACTTTGAAAATACAGTAGAATAAACAATGTAAAACAAAGAACGGAGAAAATAACCGAACATATCTGAATATAGCTGAATTCTAACGTTTTACATTTTTAAAATGTATTTATAACAAATAACGTTCCAAGTAAGTTTGAGTTGCGGATTTCCGATGACAAGTAAATGCAACAACGCAAGTCTCGCGTGAGGACAATGTTGCGTTTGCTTCCCGTAGAAAATTAGAAAGTGACAGTTCCTGTTAAAGTGCCAACCTCGGATATTTGATGTCTGCTCTGTAACAGACAGTACACAGAACTGGCCATACTGAATATGAACGTTTTGCGACTGTCCGTCTGTGGTAGCCGTGTGATGGATTTGCGACAGACTTCAGAGTCGAACGGCACAGATTTAAACTAAACGCTGCAGCTTCATAGGCTCACTTTAAAAGTGAAATTACATAAAACTGATAATTACACGAAAGACCAAATCGTGTAGCAGAATTCTGATTCAGAAGAGCGCTTTGTGTTGCAGACCATTTGGAGAATGAGCACTAAGAACGGAAGGGGGCAGTATTGCAACTGTAAAGGATGCAAACTGTTGGAAAACTCCAAAGAGGAAGCAGTTTAGCGTAAAGTTCGCAGCAGCTGTAGCAGTGCTTATTTTTGTGGCTGTGGACGAATGGGAGCTCAGGGGCATAAAGGCAGCAGGACCGAGGAGGTGGTATAAACTATCTGCACATTGCACCAGTGTAAATCAGTCCAGCACGATGGCGTTAGGCGCACTCGGTTGACTCGAGGTGTCGATTCTGCGTTTACGTGTGAATGCAGCCTGAGCACGTGCTGAGCCCGGACAGCTAGCTTAAGCAGCGCGTGCGCACAAGAGCTATAACGAGCCGCTCGCGTCGCTGTTAGGCAACCGACGTTATCACAGCCGTCGGTCACCATTCAGTCAGGCCATAATTAACCCGTGATGTAAAGGGTCAGAGGTAGGAGTGTGTGAGTGCCGTGCTGCCTGCTATAGTGGTAAGTCCGAAACGGCTGTTATATGCGGGATGTGGAAAAGTTTCGTGGAGAACATTTAGCTAAAGTTGTGCTGTAACACGTTTTCTCATGCAGGCAACATTAAATCTGAACACACCGCCGTATCTGTTCTTCTTCCCAGTGTAAGTTACAGTCATGGTGAACCAGGTTCAGCGAGGGGATGGCACCTGCCAGTGCAAGAGCGACTCCAGCGGGGCCAGCAACAGTGGCGGGGACAGCTCCAAGGAGAGCTCCCGGTGCTCCACGCCGGTGCTGGATGCGTACCGGTCGGACAGATTGCGGGACAAGATGCGCAGAAGGATGGAGTCCGGAGACCGCTGGTTCTCGTTGGAGTTCTTCCCTCCACGCACAGCCAGTGGGGCTGTTAACCTCATATCACGGTATGTGAACTTAAACGGGACGCATCAAGAATGAGACGTCCCTGGGTTAACAGCGACCGCTGGTGGGGCTGTTGGTGGGTGCAGATGGGAACTGAAGAGGGACAAGGAAAGGCAGGAGTGTGCTAGTAGGGCTATGTATAGCAACAGGAGAGATGATAGTGTGTGTGTGTAGGGGGGGGATCCAGTAGAAGTGACAGACTCTGGCAGTAACATATCCCAAAAAGTCATGATGGCGGTCAGTCCTGCTTTTATTTATTTATTTATTTATTTATTTATTTATTTATTTTAACTCATGTTTTGGTCCACAGGCAGCATCCACTATCTCAGGATGTTATTCTAATGCTTATAGAATTGACCGATTTCGCGATTGGGACCTTTTCACGCCTTCTTTAACTTAATCACAAAAATCCTTTTTATGAGCAAAACCAACAGAAGGTTGCAATTTGACAGCTGTTCTGTTATGAAGTATGTGATCTCTCTGATATGTATCCAGGGAACTCTAAGACACAAAACGGTGTTCTTCACTGTCTGGAGCACATCCAGTTCTTGGTAGACTAATAAACCCAACACGCAGACCAACACAGACTAATGAACAATCCACCAAAAAAGTACAAACATTGATATGAATTTTCCACAGCAGACGTCCTCAAATGTGTGACAATAAAAGCTTCATGAAACATAACACTGTACACACTATGATCTTATCTGCAAAACTGAAAACACCTTACTGAGCCCATCTGGGAAAACGTGTCCCGGTTTGGCTTCCAGCCCTCAAGTCCAGATTGTAGTTGTTATGTATGTGTTCATCTTTACTACCTCACTCCCACCCCTGGTTTGAGTGTGCCTTTGTGTTTTTTCTACAGGTTTGACCGCATGGGCTCTGGTGGGCCCCTGTTCATCGACATTACCTGGCACCCAGCAGGCGACCCGGGTTCAGACAAGGAAACTTCATCCATGATGATTGCTAGCACAGCTGTCAACTATTGTGGCCTGGAGAGCATCCTCCACCTAACCTGCTGCAATCAAAGCAAAGAGAAAATCACTGGCTACTTGGCAAAAGCAAAGCACCTGGGCCTGAAGAATATCATGGCACTAAGAGGAGGTAATGCTGATGGTAGCCATACCAGCACTCTTCTGTTTAACATTTACGCTCCAACAGATAAACCGGAGAGCAGCTTGGTGTTAGTATGAGCCAGGGATCAAACCATCAACCTTTCAGTCATTAGATGATCCGCTGTACTTCCTGGGCTGCAGCAGCTCAGCAGCCATAAAGGTTGATGGGGCATTGTCATCCTGTGAATGCAATAACTCGAGAACAAGAGGATGTGGGATTTAGAGAGGCGTACCCACTGAAGGGTAGCACTGGCTGTCGAGTATTTTTATCATGTCTTCACACAGCAGCACGCCAACAACACTCGTACTCGTAAATTAAATGCATTATTAATGGAATCATCCATTTTTCTGTACAGCCTGTGATGTACTAAATCTCTCAGGATGTACCATTTATTTAAAAGGGAAAAAAAGAAAAAAAAACTCCTAATAAACTGCAAATGTAAAACCTGATGGAGACATCCTGCTGCAGCGTTTGTGCTCTGAAATATTCCAGATCATTCAGCTTCTGAGACGAGAATTAGAAACACAATGTCAGACCTACTTTTTCCTTTACTTTGGTCTTACTGCAAGCAAGAAAAATATTTGAAAATCAACAAGCAGCATGATTTCGAATGGCTTAAAAAATGTAGTAAAGACAAATGTCAGGTGATGTGAAGTTGCTCGGTGTAACAGTGGACTGTGTTCTCCACACTGGCGTGGGTTACAGTGGACTCTCCAAACACTGATTCTGTTCATCTGGACGTTTTCAGTGGGAGAAACGTTTCATCACTCATCCAGGTGACTTCTTCAGTCTCAGCTGAAGGTTTCCCCAATCTTATAAACAGTACATTTGCATAATGACTAAAACCAGCCCACTGAAGGAACAATGGGCTGTGAGGTCAGTCCCTTAATCATTATTATGCAAATTCTCATGACCATTGATCAACAGCCACTGATCAGTGGTCATGAGTACGATTCACAGAGTTGGTGAATGGCAGCTATCACAGCATTGTAAGATGGTGACAGATGTACCCTTAGACCCCCTCCTCCATTCAGAGATGGTCTTTCCCTTTTCACGTAAATGGCCTCCTTGACTCCGCCCTCAAACCAGCATTCCTCCCTGTCCAGGATGTGTTCATCCTCATCATTGAAAGAGTGTCCTCTGGCCTGTAGGTGTAAATAGACTGCAGAGTCCTGGCCTGATGGTTGCTGATCAATGCTCATGAGAATTTGCATAATTATGATTAAGGAACTGACCTCCCGGCCCATTGTTCCTTCAGTGGTGCTAGCTTCAGTTCAGGCAAATGATCATTATGTTTATAAGGTTGGAAACCTGCAGTCAGCTGAGACTGAAGAAGTCACCTGGATGAGTGACGACACGTTTCTCCCACTGAAAACGTCCAGATGAACAGAATCAACTTTTGGGATTTCTTTACCTGGATGACTGAACATCCATCAAGACGTTACAATGGACTGTTAACACAGCGCCGCATGCACGAGCAGTGCTCTGCAGAGGCGGACAGTTTATGTCCTGTTTGTAATGTTCTGTGACACTTTGTTAAAATCATCGGTCACAACCATAAAAGCACTTAAATGCTGCGTTAGCAGGCATGCTACATGCAGCGAGTGATGTCACACGCTACATCTGAATCAGCTGATGGCTGAATGTCAACAATCTGATCGCTGACGGACGAGTTTTTCTTTGGCAATTAAAATCGATGCATTCCCACTGCTAATGCTTCCCAATCTGTGGAGACGTTCCTTCACCGTAACACGTCCCCGATTCATACAAACTAATGGATCTCCCTCTTTGTTTTAATCGGCGCTCAAAGCTCATCTAGTTTGTTGTACAAGGATGCGACCTGTCTCATCCAGCTGTGCATGTTTTTAAACCTTAGGCATGTGCCAAATATCTTCACAGACCCAATAGGAGAAGATTGGGAGGAAGAAGAGGATGGTTTCAACTATGCCATCGACCTTGTCAAACATATCCGCTCAGAGTTTGATGACTACTTTGACATCTGCGTCGCTGGTATGTTCTCACCGTCGAGGTCAGCAGGATGCAGTTTGAGTGGATTGTCGCTAATTTAAATGTGTGTGTCCAGGCTACCCCACAGGCCACCCTGAAGCAGAGAGCTATGAAGCTGATCTCAGGCACCTGAAGGAGAAAGTGGATGCTGGAGCAGACTTTGTCATCACCCAGCTGTTCTTCAGGCCCGACACTTTCCTCAAGTTCCTGGATGATTGCAGAGCCATTGGCATCACATGTCCCATCTTACCAGGAATCTTCCCCATTCAGGTAACTAAGTTCTTCTAGGAACAGGAATCCTCTTATCTTTATCTTCAAAGCAATTTTCTCCTCTTTGAAGTGATAGTGTTGTGTTCTGTTACTCTTTACACTCCCTGTGATTGTGCTTTCCTCTTTCGTCATCTGAACCATGGAGCAGTCAAAGGGGTAGCTGGTTGCAGTGATACTAAAGAGTGTTAAATGT